CTGAATTTATTTTATCTTGAAGTCAAAATCTGAGGCTTCGTAGCAAAAAAGATGCCCAATTTGATTCTTTGATGGCCTTCATTTTGGAAACCAGCACTACACAATTGTTTGATGTCGGTGCTCTTTTGAAGACTCATTCCAAATCCATGGTAGCACACGAAATCCTGGATTCAAAGAAATACAATTGCGTCGTCTATTACGATGAAAAAGAAAATGTGATCGCTTATCAAACGGAAACTGGCAGAATCGGGTGGGATTTGCCTGTAGAGGGCCAATTTTTGTTTCTTAAAACCAAGCACAATTTGAAAAATGATGAGATTTTTTTGTATCTTGACCAGCCCCATTGCTTTGGAACCAATGTCGATGTCAACAATCCATTTGCAGTTTGCGTGGTTACTTTCTCGACGCTTGTGTACACTAAAAGCTTTTACCAAGCGCTCTTGAGAGCCCGAAAGCTGCTGAATGGAATTTCGACTGTTAATGAGTACACTCAGCCTAAAAAATATCCACGCCACCAGATTAGGATGTTTGTTTCTTCAATCCTAAAAAATGATCAAAATATGCTTTCGACGCTCAGTGCAAATGACAACCAAGAATTGACATCAAAAATCACCCTTTTTTCAGAGGTCATAAAGTCTGATAAAAAGGCTGCTTTGAAAACAATTTTTACTTGTGCTCATTTGAACCAGCTCAAGAGGGATCGTAAAGAAAAAACACTTGTACCCTGGCAAGAATTCTTTTCCAATGTTTTGAAGAGCTTCTGGTCTCCCGCATATTCCTCTGCAGACAATCAAATTCCCAACTGGGACAAGATTCTTGGCCCGAACACTCCAACGTCTATCAATCAGTTTAAATGGATCTTTTTTTTCTCAAACTGATATTTCAAAATCTGAAATTTTGAAATTCTTTCAAGCTAGCGAGACAGGGGACACCTTTTTCCGCAATTTTAACATATCTTTGATTCCATCGGTTGAAAATACCCCTGCATTGGATAGCGAGGCTGTTGTCCAATCGACGCAAGGGCAGGAATCTGTCCAAAAGCAGGAATCTGTCCAAAAGCAGGAATCTGTCCAAGAGCAGGAACAGATTCATGAAAACCTCGAAGACAAAAATTTAATCCCTGCAAAGTCTTCACTTTTTGGAATATCTGATGCTGTACTTGATAATTTAAGGGCTAAATTTACAAAAGATTTTGCAACAACAGTTGTTGATCGCCTCAATTTGAACGATGCATACACAAAGTATCCGGTGTTTGTTGATATTTTCAAAGGAAAAAAGGTATTCGCCACAATGAACGATGTCGCCGAAAAGCTCAAAAATCCCTCTCGCTTTTTCTTCTCGCCTGCACTGATCAACATTTATGATGTGGAAGAATTTTACTTGAAAACATGCTTCACTATTTAGCATACTCTGGTGGTGCCATTGGTTTTATGGATCTTTTAGATAGCTGTACAAAGGCTGATAGAGATTTGATTTTTGGTTTTATCGCAGCTCATGAGCTAATTTTGCAGAAATGGATCTATTTTGCAATCAAATTCAGAAAGCTATCTTCATTGAGGGTATTGAGACGTATAAAGGGGCAATTCAAAGGTATTCAAAAATACGATTTCAAAAATGTTTCCATAAAAACAAGCATTTCTGAAGGGAAATTGCGCCTCAAAATATATGAAAAGGACAGCGAGCCAATAGCATCTGAGAGGCTCTCCATTAACGTTAAACCAGAGAATCTTTCAATTACAAATGCTAATTTAACGGCGGAAGAATCCGCTTACTCCAACCCAGAGGCCAAAGTGCGCTATGAAAGCACTATGCTTAAATCAACCGTCATCGGTGGATTCTTTTTGCTTTGCATTGGATGGAGTGCATATTTCTTATACTCTCACTACTATGGTGCATCCAAACCGTCGTCAATAAGCATCTCTCATTACTTTTTGCTGATTTCGCGAACCGCCAAACTGACGCTGGTTGCTGCTGGAGTTTCGGTTTCAATTACTTATGGCCTGTGGGTAGCGTATCAAAATCATGTAAATGCTGAAAAAAAGGATAGCTCAAGTCGATCAGCAACATTTGCGTCTCAGGATGTTTTAACGAGTGTTGAAGCAAATGCGATCAAAGGTGGATGCTTGCCTAAAATTGATGGCAATTCAGCCTCTGCTCGCCACACTGGCCTTGTTGGAATTTTGATTACTTCCATCTTCTTCCTTGTTTTGGAATTGCTTTGAGATTAATGGCTGATGCCAATTAAATTAATTAAACTGAAAATATGACATTTTAGTAAATTTTTGGTAGGCTTAGTAGGCTTTTGGCAAACTTTTGGTAGGTTTTAATAAGCTTTTGAGAAAATTTTGGTTGAACACGTCGTTCTTTCAAATTTGATAACACGGATAAATAGAACGACCAAAACTAATCCAAAATAAAGGCGGGTTTCATTTCATCTTTTGGTCATTGTTTATTAACGCATCTCACTAGATAAGCATCATATTTGTGTCGATGATGTGGCTTGGCTCTAAGCTAGCTGGATTTGATGATGCTATTCTATTCTCAATATCCAAGTGCATTGGGATTTCGGGCTACAAGATAAGTGCCCAAATGAAACAAACCAAAAAGAAACAGCACACGAAAGAGACAAAATATGCAGAATGGATGTGAAGACCGCGCTTGTCGAAGGCGCCATTGCTAGTTTCGGAATCCAGATGCCGGTTCCGTGCAGCCTAGCGCAACGCTGGAAAATGCAAAATTTCATGTTCGACACATGCAATGGCATGCATGGAGAGATTGGAAAGAGAAGACCACGAACTAGAATTGAAATCAATTGAAAATTTTGGAACCAACCCTAGATCAAAATTTAATTTTACCTGCTGAACTGAAAATGCTGATTTTCTTTCTCCAGCCATACCATGCTTAACATGTCGAAAAATGTCGAAAATTTTATTGTCTCGAAAACAGACCAAAATGACACGGAATGACAGGGAATGTCCAAGAAATGCAAGAAAAACATGCGCAACGCTCCAAACAGCCGACACACCGAAATAGGAGTGAATTTGGTAGAAATTCATCGATCTCTGGTCCCCGTTCTTTTGACATCAATCCAACCTGCCTGCATTGCTCAAGATCAAAGAAATGACACCTTGATACCAGAAATGAGCTGTAGTTGCAGAAAACTGAACATTCAAATGGGTCTCTTTTTTGGGGTTGACACAAACGAGCCACATGAAAAACACGGGAAGGTCATTGATCTGCTTATTGACTGTTTGCTGTCTTTGAGAGACAAAAAGATATTCCGGTCGCAAAATCGAGAAAACAGATCACCATTTTTGAGATGAAGAATTCACTTGAGCGATCTTATACCGAGTTCTTCAAAAAGATATTGAACAAGAGGTTCGAAAAGATTTTGAAAAATACCAGTAAGAGAAAACTCGCGTTTTGATCGCTGATCACCTTTTTGTCGATTTCTGGGAGAATGTTCGCAATGTCAGGTGCGGAGCATCCATGGAATCTCTGTTTGCATATCCCATCTCATATTCGATGAAAAATGCACCAAGAGAAAGCAGAAGTTTTGGAAACCAGATATTTGCCATTGCAATTTTGATAAAATTTTACCTTGAAAACGAAATGAAAGGTCTCAGCGAGGCTCCTTTATTCTTTAACGAAGAGAATATCTATTCCACTCTGAAACTTTATCATTATGACGAACTTGAAAAAAGCACGAGGAAAAGCAAGTCGTCCGTTTTCGAATATTTAGCCATTTAAAAGAAAAGATATGCGAAAATTACGAAAATCTCAAGGCCTTTTTGAAGCATGCAGTAATTGAGGGCATCAAAAAATCGCCTCATCGGATCTTATCATCTCCCATTGAATTTATTTTATCTTGCAGCCAGATCGTTGCATACAGCAGTATCTTATACAATTGGATGAACTTTGAAGCGATCCCGAAGGTTAATATTGATATCATACAATCTTGTGTCATCGAGAGACGAACCCACAATTCGTTTGCTTTTGCTCCTCTAAATTGCTACACAAAAGATTATCCCGAAATTCGAAACTATGGGGCTTTTTGACAAAAAGATGCCCAATTTGATGCTTTGATGCTTTGATTTTGGAAACCAGCACGACAGCACTGTTTGATGTTGGCGCTCTTTGAAGGATCATTCAAACTTTAAGGTAGCGCAAGAAATTCTGGATTCCAAGAAATACAAGTGCGTGGTCTAGTACGATGAAGAGAAAAATGTGATCGTTTATTAAATGAAGCCTCGAAAAATTTGGAGAGACTTGCCTATAAAGGGCTAATTCTCGTTCTTTGAAACCAAGTGCGGTTTGAAAAACGAGGATATTTTGCTGCATCTTGACCAGCCTCATTGCTTTGGAATCAATGTCAATGTCAACAATCCATCTGCACTTTGCGTGGTTACTTTTTCGACGCTTGTTTCCACCAAATGCTTTTATCAAGCGCTCCTGAGATCTCGAAAGGTATTTAATGGAATTTCGACTCTTAGTCCGTCGACTCGGTCTAAAAAATATCCACGCCACCAGATTAAGATTTTCGTTTCTTCAATCCTAAAAAATGATCAAAATATGCTTTCGATGCTCAGTGCAAATGATAACCAAGAATTGACATCAAAAATCACCCTTTTTTCAGAGTTCATAAAATTAGATAAGAAAGCTGCCTTGAAAGCAATTTTTACTTTTGCGCACTTGAACCAGTTCAGGAGGGATCGTAAAGAGAAAACACTTGTACTCTGGCAAGAAGGGTTTTCCAAGGTTTTGAAGAGCTTTTGGTATCCCACCTATCCTGAAGGAAATTCAATGCCCACCTGGGACAAGATTTTCAATCTGAACAATGCAAAGTCAACTAGTCGGGTTAAATGGATCTTTTTCAGAAGGTGGTATTTGGAAGTCTGAAAGGGTTAGAATTTTTTCAAGCTAGCAACACAGCAAAGATGTTCCTCCTCGTGTTTGTGATGCCTTCTATTTAATCGCTTGCCAAAAATGTTGCGTGAATTAGCGATGCTGTTGTCCAATCCACCGAAAAGCAGAACTCAGTTCAAAAGCAAGAAGATGATGATGAAACCGTGAAAGGTTCAAATGTAGCCTCTGCAAAGAAATCATGTTTTGGAATATCGGATGCTGTATTTGCTCGTTTGAGTGTCAAATTTACAAGAGTTTACGAGAACCGCTGTTGGTCGCCTCGGCTTAAATGATGATGCATACACAAAGTAGCCGGTGTTTGTTGATATCTTTCGAGTAAGTGAGGCTGCTTGTCACAGTGAACGATGTTGATGAAAAGCTCAAAAATCCTTGCGACTTTTTCTTCTCGCCTGCACTGATTAGCTTTTATCATGTGGAAGAATTTTACTTGAAGACATGCACCATTATCTGGCATACTCTTGTGCAGCGATTGGATAGATCTACGAGGCTGAAACCTATTGTTTTAAGAGTTATCGCAGCTCATGAGCCAATCTTGCAGAATGGATGTATTTTGCAGCGAAATTCAAAAAGCCATCTTTATTGAGGGCATTGAGGCCTATCAAGTCGCCGTCAAAAGGCAGCACCAAGTACGATTTGACAAACGTTGCCATAAAGGTTGGTGTTTCTGAGCGGAAATTGTACCTCGGCATGTGTGCAAAGGACCGTTCAATCTGGATCAGTCTAATTTTATGCGCAAAATGGAATATTTTAGTAAATTTTTTGTACATTGACCCCAAAATTAATTCCAATGCACACCACCATAAAGGTTAAAAGCAAAATCGGCTCAAATTTAGGGACCTTTATTTAGAGTTTGCGTCGATGATGTGGGCCAACCCAAAGCTAGATCGATTCTTTGGTGCTATCCTATCTTCAGCATCCAACCTTCATTGAAGTGCCGAGTGAAAGATACCTTTCTGCATCAAATGGACGAAAAAGAAACCACAGAGAAAAGAGACAAAATATGCAGAATGAATGCGAAGACAGCACTTGTCAAAGGCGCCATTGTTAGTTTCGGCATCCAGACTCCTGTTCCGTGCAGCCTAGCTCGACGCTGGAAAATGCAAAATTTTATGTTCGAGACATGCATGGCATGCATAGAGAGATTGGAAAGAGAAGACCTCGAACTAGAATTGAAATTAATTGAAAATTCAAGCATCTAACCCTAACTTCAAATTTAATTTTACTTGCTGAACTGAAAATGCGGATTTTCTCTCTCCAACCATGCCATGCTTAACATGTCGAAAATGTCGAAAATTTTATTGTCTCGAAAACGGACCAAAATGATACAGAACGATCGGGAATGTCCGTAAAATGCAAGAAAAACATGCACAACGCTCCAAACGGCTCAAAAACCGCAATACGAGTCAATTTGGATCTGTTGAAAAGGCCATTTGGATAGCCAGTCTGGATTGTTAGTTTAACTTGCATATTGGATGCTTTAAACAGCATCAGCACAAATAAAATGTATTGTAAAAATGCAGCCAATTTTTCAACAAACTAACCCATAACAACTCGGATATTTAGCGGCCTCCAATTTAATGCAATTAATCCCATTGAAAGACAATTAATCTAATTTAAAGGCAATTCACAAAATTTATATATAGACAATCACGAAATTTACAGGCAATGCACGAAACGTCAACTTTCATCAAATTTGGTACAAATTCATCGATCTCTGCCCCCCGCTTCTTTGGCACGAACCGATACTGTTTGCATTCCTCAAGATCAACATGATTGATTGACCACTGTTTTGGACATTTTCTCTCCACAAAGACGGGAAGTTCAAGGTTCACCCGCATAGCCACACACGAAAAGCGTTCTTTTGCTTTCCAAGCTTGGAATTGCGATTTTATTCTATTAGAAAGGCTTCTCATGGCATCACATTGTTTTGATATCTCTACTGTGGTCTGGGCTCTTTTAAGGGGATCAAGTCCACATGTAAGGTCCTCTTTTCAAGATGCAAAGCCATCACCTAAAATTCGACCTTGTCATCGTATATTGAGTTGTCTGTTTAAAGTACCATGAAAAGGCTATGGAATGCTTTTCTTTCCGACTGACAGAACTCGAACAGACTATTTTGCGAAATATCATTGAGATTAAACATCTTGAGCTCGAATACGTTGTTGTCATACAAATCTCTAAATTTCAATCTAGAGCGCAACTTGATAGCTTTTTGAATCTCTATCAAAAGGGGCTCTTGTTTATCTTGATGCTAACCGCCATGGCGATTAATGTGATCGCATACGAAATCAAAAATATTGAACCTGGGTTAGGATGTGTGACATGGGCATTTAAACGTCAGTTATTTAATTGGGCCTCCTGATATGGGCAATATATAATGTGGACCAACATGCAGTTTCAATGAAATTAATTTTGGCCAAATCCCAACCCTAGCCCAAACATCGCTGACTAATTTGGTCGAATGTTGTGTTATTTATGTTTGTTTATATTTTCAAATCGAAAAGTGATTTCGCACACAAAAGGCACGCCTCTCGTTGGTTAATATCCTATTTATTTGTTGTTGTTTTGTTTATCTATTTCCGTCACTGCAAACATGTCAGCTTAACAGCATGAAAAGAATAAATAGCGAATGTTGTATTGAAAAGTATGCAACCATGATTCCAAAGCGAATAACAGCTCTTCTTTTCTGTATGTGCTTAGCTTTATTTTCGGCGTCATCTGTGATGTCGATAAAACCTGGTATCTACTTTGCAAACATAACCTCATCGATTTCTAATGGAACAACTGCTCCGTTCATTATACACGCAAGCAAAGGTCTTGGTGTTAATGTCACTGCTTTGGGCGAAATATATCCATATTCTTCTATTTTTGTGGAATGGGATCCTTTTTCTGGTCATGATAGCTATGATGCTACACTTTCTCTTAAAAGTTTAGCGAATCCGGATGAAATTTTTCCCGAATCGCAAACCAAAGATACTGGAAATGCAACTATTGTGTTGGAAAATTATGGTTCTTTTAAGCCAGGAATGTATGCCATCCTTGTCTCCAATGCCCTTGGCCAAGGTGTATCAAATTCGTTTCTCGTTCTCGCGCCTAATCCCCTTTCTGTTAAGACTGATACGGATAAGGTTCCCACTGGCGAGTTTTTGGGTCTTTCTTGGACTCCATTCAACATTTCTGATACTGTGAACATATCTATCGCCCGCGTCTCAAGCGGTTCTCAACGTATTATTGCTACAAACCTTGCTGATACCGGATCTACCAGTGTTGAGCTTTCATATCCTCCTGGTATTTACGAATTGAAATTAGTATCCTCCCTTGGAATTGGTTCCTCAAATCGTTTTGCTATTACCACCGAATTTAACACGATCGCTGTCACAGTTAATCCAGACAGCATTTCTTCAATTAATGGTTTCACAATTGTCGAATGGAAACCATTCGATAAAGCTGAGGAATTCGTAAACCTAACCCTAACCGGGAAGGATGGACTCGCTTATAAGAATGTGTCTAATGTGCCAAACATTGGATACTATTTTTTGAGCGCTTCAGAATGGGAAGTGCCGAAATCACCAGCCACGTACAGTCTTACTATCGATTCAATGCTTGGCTCTGACAGCATCGAGCTCACCATGTTTGATAGTGCCACCTTGAACGTTATTATTGATCCAAGCGTTGTTATGTCTGATGGTGGTGCTATCGATGTCAATTGGTCTCCCATTGATCCTAGCGAACCCCTTGTTAATCTTTCTGTATACAGTGGCAATGATTCTTTGCTGAAAACACTTGAAGTGCCAAATACAGGATCATATTCAGACGATGTTACATCATTTGGGCTGTTTCCAGGAAGGTATAAAATCCAAGTTGATTCGAATATGGGCTCTGGATTTGACTATTTGATCGTGAGTAGTGCTACTCCCCTGAATATTCTGGTTCCCAACTCCGAATCTATTATTTACAATAACTCTGCCTCATTATCTGTCCAATGGACTCCGTTCGATGAAAATACTACTCCTGCCGTTATTACCATTATTAACCAGAACACGATGAAAAACGATTATTTTTCAGTCAAAAACAATGGAAATGCCTCTCTTAATTTGAGTTCTATTGATGTACCTGCTGGAACCTACAGCCTAACTGTGGATACTTCGATCGGAAGCAGTGGATCTCCGTCTATGTTTGTTCTTCTTTATCCTGAAACCCTTTTGATCGCCTCACCAAATTCTACCACCAATGTTTCTAATGTCGGTTTGCTTGATATCGAATGGGACCCTAAAAATCCTGCTGGTGAAAACATCACCATCTACCTGCACCACGCTGTAAACAACAGTATCTCTTACGGTCCATTCAAAACTCTCGACGATGGTAATGCCACTCTCGATCTTATGACAAATGCTATCAACAAAAATATGCTTCTTGAGGATGCTATTGCTTCTGAACAAAAAGCTCATGATGCCGATGTTCGAGCTGTTATGCGGGCACTAGAGCCAAAAAATGCAGCAAAGAAATCTAGCTTTCACACACAGAAAGAATCGATTAGAATGAAATAAAATAGATAATATAAACACCACCACCCCTTTCTGGGCTTACTTAGGTTCACTAATGAAAGTCCCATGCATCATCCACATTGGTTGCGTCAGTTGATAAGCAAGCTCAGGCTCTGTTGGGCTTTGCCCCGATCGTACTATATGTCGGATATGTGAACTAGCATGTGGGCTTCGTTTTTGGATTATAATACGACCAGATTCCGATCGAGTAGACTGGAACTATGCAGTCGCTCGCATCGCCAATATCAGCTCCAACCTTGACTCAATTCCGGGTCTGGTATGAATCAATCGAGTTTTAGGGTTAGGTTTTACTATGCTTTATTTCGTAATAAACGGAGTTATGGAAGGGACACTTGGTTTCAAGGCAGCATGGGGGGAAATTGCAAATTGGGCCGATGGACGAATCAGAGTGCAGGCGGAATTAGATTGGATTGGATTAGATTAAATTTAGAAGTGGGACAAATCCGTAGTTGGGAGCAACGATGCAAGAAGGTTTTCGAAAACTTCGTATTGACGCAAGTTCAGAGGGTGATCCAAGGGGGTGTAGTGGTGTTCGCCCTGTATTTTGGCAGCGAAAGCAGAAAAGGAAGCTGCTCAGATGGGTCTAAAGGAAAAAACAACGGTGTCCAAAACATGCGGCCATCAGCCAATGTCAAATAATTCGATCGACTGCTCTGAAAACATGTCGTGAAACGCAAGAAAAACATGCGCAACGCTCCAAACGACGG